ACGATATCTCACGATATTGATAGATAGTTAAACATATCCGATACAGAGTCCGAATCGTATCGTTTTGATTGAGACCGTATCGTATCTCGATAAATATCTCGATATCTCACGAATTTAACTACCATAGTTTAGATATTAACATAAGATTATATAATCAATTTTTGGTAGAGAATATATATAGATAACATATTCTTATTAGTTAGATATATTTCTAAATTCAAGTCATATCTACATAATAAGTGATTCTTTTTACATTAATACAAATTAGTATTTCGTAAAAATAGTAGTTTTGAAGTTATACTTTTCTAAATTATATTTCTGTTGGTTGCAGAAATTATTTTTAAATTATAAAATTTATTATTTGTTGCCAAAACAAGGGACCATTAATCACTAATGGGATTTATCATCAAGTTGAGAACCGCAGAGCAGCACGTGTCCATCTACACAATCACTAATGTCTAAATGAATTTGGCTCTTTCAAAATTATACTTTTTCTTTGAGAAATTATATTGGCTATATAAAGATAAATTGAGCGAATTAAATAAATAATATCACTATATACAATGTACACCACAAAATGAGAGTGACTAATATTGATTCACGTATCTCGTATCAGAATGTACTAATATGATTGGTTGTGGATTTTTTCATTAAAAAAAAAGGTGGGATATAGTTCCCCGTACCAATACATGCTATGTTAGCTTTGTTACTGCTACTCAAATCTCGATACTCCACTCAAAATCGTTCGTAGAACAATCATTTGAATTTGTTAATTAGACAAATTAAACTTGAACACATACTTTTGACTCGCTGGGTTTTCAATTTGTGTTGGAATCGATGAAAACTCGTTCAAACTCGACTATGTTGCGTACTAATTCAAGCTCAAACGCAATTTTCAAGCCTAAATGAAATATCAAACAAATAAAAAAAAATACACCATCTCGAGTCGATTATTTAATTATTTTACACTATCCGACCAACTTTAATTTTAATTAATTTAATAATTTCTTAATTAAACGTTATTATCAAGAAAATGCAACTAAACATGGAAATTCTGCACAAGGTGGCCGTCCTAGGGCCAAACAAAAAAGTTTTATTTGTCATTTTATTTTATTTTAAATAAATAAATAGAAGGATAAATTATCATCACCCTGAGGTATAGTCAAATTACGAAAACCCCTCATATTTGGGTCATTTCAATCACCCTTCAACATTAAATCTTCTTCTATGTCCACCACTGCGGTGTCAAATCTAGTGGAATCTTCTAGCTTATATGAGATTTTCTCAATTTGTACTCGTTTGATCCCATTCGAGCTCCACATTTTGAAACAAGATGATCATAAGATGCGTCTCTTAACTTGTAAATATAAGATTATGGTGTATCAGAAACTACATTTTTGCACAAAACAATGTACAAACTAGAGAACATACGGAATATAGAAGATTATGTTGAATTTGACACCATAAGGGTCGACGCGTAAGAAAATTCATAGTCGATGGGTAGTTGTAATAACCCAAACATGAGAGGTGTTTTCGTAATTTGACCATACCGCAGGGGTATGGTTGTAATTTACCCCAAAATAGAAAGAAAACAAAAGAAAACTTGTCGATTTGAATGAACGAGAGAGAGAGAGAGACAAATCATCTCACACACACCACCACCACATTCATTCTCACATGCAAACACACACACACAAACACACAACACACACTACACCACCTTAAAAACCCCACCCACTACAGTACAAATTACAGAATCTCCCAAACTCCACAAAACGAACGCCCCAGAAAATTCCTCTCCGAATTGAGGAATAGTTTCAGAAACCGAGAGATATGGGCCAGAAGGAAGCGGAATCTGAGAGGATCGACGGCGGCGGCGGCGTGGTGGTGGTGGAACCCAAGCCGAAGAAGGGGCTGAGTTCGAAGGCGGTAGACTGGTTGGAATGGGCGTTTGTGAAGATGATGCATGACCCTAAGAAGCCTCTTCATTATCTCGCCGGCAACTTTGCTCCGGTTGACGAGACTCCTCCTCTCACCGATCTTCCCGTTATAGGACATCTGCCGGTGAGTCGCCGTGGTTCCATTTCTTCTGTATCTGTTTTTTTTTTTTTTTTTTTTTCTGAGAATTTGCACAAGTGTGTGTTTGGTGTGGGTGACCGGATTTTGTAATTGAAAATTGGGATTTTGATTCGGTTCCTGTGCTGAGTTTTCTCGTATACATGTATTTTGCTGCAAGCCTGCAATCGTGTTTATTATTATTATATTATTAATTAATTAATTAATTACTGTATTTGTTTGTGGATTGTTATTTTAAGTTTCCAAATTTTGATTGTTGCAAACTGTTGACAAAATTGACAATACATTTTAAATTATTTTTTTTAATTCCACTACACTTATAGCCTATAGGACTATCAAAGGGACAGAATAAAAAAAATTGTCATTTGTACATTTGTTTTTGTGTTCCTGCACAGAATAATTTATTCCACAAAATCCGGCAGCAAATTAATTAAAGTAGTGATGATTGTTGTGTACCTCAGGAATGCCTCAACGGTGAGTTTGTGAGGGTGGGGCCCAACCCAAAATTTGCACCAGCTGCTGGATATCACTGGTACTACATATATCTATCTTTTTCATGTAATATGATCTTGTGAGATTGAATATACGTACCCGTTACTCGATTGCAATCTATATATGTATGTCACGTTGTTTCGTTGTTTCGGTATGGTCCGGTTAAATTTATTTGATATCGAATATGGCTTAACTTTATATCATCTCTTCTTTCTGCAGGTTCGATGGAGATGGGTGCGTCTTTTACATCCTCGTTTATTGCTTGGTGCATATGGTTTTATTGCATGAGATGATTTTTATTTATGATTTTCGTTTTTGAAATTTTCTTTATTTTCGCAGTGGAAGGTTTTATCAGAGCATCTTCTGTGTGTTGTTCTGGTTTTCTTGACTCGTGTGCAGATTGGAATATTCTCGACATTCTCAATGTAATATGTTTTAACGATACTTAATATTTGCAGAATGATTCATGGTATGCGCATCAAAGATGGAAAAGCAACCTTCGTGTCACGCTTTGTGAAGACATCACGACTCAAGCAAGAAGAGTTTTACGGAGGACCGAAATTTATGAAGGTACGCATGTCAATGCAGTAAATCTCAGACCAATGGTAATGAGAAGAGTTGTTTGGATCAACTGATTTAGTTGATATATTTAATTGTCACTCATTTGTGTCGAAGAAATAAACCCCATTTGCCTCTGTAAAGTGCAACATTTCTGCACCAAGAGTTTGTTCTGTCTTTATCCAATTCTGTTCTTACAGTAACTAATCCTTAATAAGGAAAACTTAAGATAGAACGAATCGGACATGCTCGAAAATCTTAACAAATGAGACTTTCCTGGAAATAAAGCGCATATGGTTTAAAAGAGATGGAATAATATGGAGTCAAACGGGATATGAATATTTATTCTTTGATCCCTTCCTTCAAAATATTGTGCAGATTGGTGACATGAAAGGAATGTTTGGACTTTTCATGGTTAACATGCAAATGCTAAGGACAAAACTTAAAGTACTCGACGTTTCCTATGGATTTGGTACAGGTAAGTTAACCATGAAGATCTAATTTTATTTATAAATTATCGTTATATTTCTTTTTTTGTAAATGGCATACGACATAACTGATATCACATCGTTTGGACTTATAATATTGTTTTTAAAAGCAGTTATTAACTTCATAAAAATACCAGAAAAACCGGTCTTCGTTTTTCTGTATATGGTTGACTATTTTTAAGATATAAATTACGGGGAGATCTTTTTCAGCTAATACAGCTATGGTATACCACCATGGGAAGCTTCTGGCACTCAGTGAGGGAGATAAACCATGTAAGCTTTCTTTTCTTCATCCTCCAATTTTTATTCTATATTTATGCAAAAAAAAATGTCTCACTCTCGATATAAACTTGCATGCAATATATTGTACAGATGCAATCAAAGTTTTGGAAGATGGAGATTTGCAAACAATTGGCATGATGGATTACGACAAAAGACTGTCGCATACTTTTACTGCTCATCCCAAGGTTGACCCATTCACTGGTACGACTGATTGATGCAAATATTTAATTTCTCTTTTGTAAAAGAAAATTCACTTATATATATTTCTGTTCTCTTTTTTTTTCGTACAGGGGAAATGTTTACCTTCGGCTATGCACAAGCACCGCCTTATGTTACATACAGAGTCATATCAAAGGAAGGTGTGATGGAGGATCCAGTGCCGATTACGATAGCGGACCCCGTCATGATGCATGATTTTGCCATTACTGAAAATTATGCCATTTTTATGGATCTACCATTGTACTTCAAGCCAAAGGTATGGTGATTATTTAACAGTGTTACATTGAAATGAAATATACTGTATTAATTTGTGTTCCATTGAATTGCATATTTATACGTACTTGTCTGGTACCGATTTAATATAATTATTGATGCAAGCAATAATTATTAGATCGGGTTTAGAAGTTGCAATTTAATCTGCTTCCATCATTGAGTCCTGTTTTTGTTTCTTATTTCAAACAACTTCACTTAATGGATTCGGACTGAAACGAAACATAAAAGATATAATGATGTTTAATTACTCTGAAATATAACCCATCTGAAGTTCGAATTACAGCTCGTAAAATTGTTATGGAGTAAATGATTGGCACGGTAATGGAAGTGTTAAGAGTAATTATTAATCTGCTTTGTATCTTGATCTTTGTCACTGATTAGTGATTACCGAATCAGTCAATATAATTAACCTGTCTGATTCAGAAGTATTTATAACTTTTAGGAAATGGTGAAGGACAACAAATTCATTTTCAGTTTCGATCCGACGAAGAAAGCTCGTTTCGGAATCCTTCCTCGGTATGCTAAGAACGAGCTCCTAATCAGGTGGTTTGAGCTACCAAATTGCTTCATATTTCATAACGGTGAGCAATTTAACCCTCATATACCTTAAATATGTTTATCTTTTCCTTAGGGACAAAATGGTATTTTCCAGTTATGTTTATGTTGTGTGAGAAGTGGTAAATATAAGCAAGCATGTCATAAAGAATTTTGTAGTTACAAATACAATTGTAAAACCGGCATCTCGAATGTTTTATCAGCAAATGCATGGGAGGAAGGAGACGAAGTTGTTCTAATCACTTGCCGACTTCAAAATCCCGATCTTGACATGGTTAATGGCGCTGTAAAAGAAAAGCTCGATAATTTCACAAACGAACTGTAAGAAAAACTTTACACTGATTAAGTAATTTCTCCTCATATATATCACAAATATCAAAGATTGACATATATTTGTGTTTCTGTCAGATACGAGATGAGATTCAACCTTAAAAACGGTCGGGCTTCACAGAAAAGATTATCAGTCTCAGCTGTAGATTTCCCCAGGGTCAATGAAAGCTACACCGGCAGGTAAGCACGGCTACTAATTATTTTTCGACACATGAAAAAAATATATTATTATTAATTGTTTTTTTTTAATTTTATTTTTAGGAAACAACGTTATGTATATGGAACAATACTGGATAGTATTGCAAAGGTGACTGGAATTATAAAATTCGATTTACATGCGGAACCAGAAACTGATAAAGAGAAGCTTGAAGTTGGAGGGAATATTAGTGGCATCTTTGATTTGGGACCCGGAAGATTTGGATCCGAGGCTGTCTTTGTCCCTCGCCAGCCTGGCATTACGTCTGAAGAAGACGATGGCTACTTGATTTTCTTCGCGCATGACGAGAAACTGGGTAATCCATCTTAATTGTATATTTCTGATCCATTATTTTGCA